TATGCTAATTATGCAAATTGCCCAACGTATAAAAGTTAGTGTCCAGCAGTTTCTAAATGCTGGGGATCCACACTGTGTAGTCAACATTTCTGAGTTACATTACTGGAAAGTATATATGCATATAGAAGTTTAATCTCTCCTGTCCTTCGTCTGTGTGTCCTTCAGGAGAAAGTGCAGCTGCAGTACACGCTAACCTTCACCATGGGAGAGCAGGAGCACAGCGAGAGCGGCAGTCTAGAACAGTTTCCTCCTCCGGAGAAGTGGGGGGACCTATAGCATTCAAACACAACCACAACCCGACAGACTCTGCCTCCTTTCTACCAACTCTCCAGCTCAACACTCGGCATAAACCCGTTTTTCCTTTTGCGATCACGTTGTACTTTCTCAATTGATTGGTATTGATTGTTTTCCCTGGATTACACTCATGCTCAGTCAGTGTAATGTGTGTATGCTTTGCTCTAAACGAGTCGTGTGTCTAGGTGTAGTCTGCTGTATGTGGCTGCATTGAAACAAACCTGCAGCTGCTTCCCCCCGAAGTCGTTGCGGTTTTGTCATCTCATTTTTAACAGACAGTGCTACTAAAGGAAGAAAACTACAACATGTGTGCATATTAGCTCATTTGGTGTGCTTAATTTTTGTTCCCCCGTCTTAGGGCAGTCAGTTCATATCAGTTATCGGTTTACCTCCACCTCAGCATGCTCTGGGACGAAATGCTTGCGAAATCCAGCACAATCCAGCATCACATAGTTAATCTTAGTTTGCGAAACAAGCCTATACTTAATCAACTTTTTGTGATTTATTATTGTTTCTGTCTGATGACTGAGTGTAGCTTTCTGATTGCACAGAGAATGATTGTTTTGATAGTACTGTTTCCCTCCCATCGTGTGTAAAGAACATTTCCTGTAACATCAGAGCTGTGTATTTTCTGCCATATGTGCCTATTTTGCAGTTCTAACATTATTTAAAGTTTAGTGCTTTTGAATGGATTCGTTTTCTCATCTGTTACATGTAGGTCCGGGCTATAGATCGGCTTCACACCATCTTTAACACAGTATAAGTTACATTTTGACAGGATTCTTTAGCTTGAGGTTTACGTTCCTGTGTAACCGTTATTGGGTAAAACTGATTATCAAAAACTTGACTATATGCAAACTGAGCTGCACTTGTGTGCTCTGAGCGCAGCGTCCGTCTGTTCAACCTGTTTCTACAACCTGCGATGATGCATGACCGCTGCGCTGAACACTTCCTCCTCCTCCTCCTCCTCCTCCTCCACAGGCTCTCGATCACATTCCACTGCACTACTTTCCAGTAAGACTGCTTTGTAAAGGCCAGCGATGGCGGTTCTGTTATGTACATTTGACTTGTGCAGTGTGCAAGAGCATAACACTGGTGAAATATTCCAAATGGGTAATAAAGTTTTTTTTTCTTGGTGATCTAAAGGAATGTTAATTTGTAGTGAAAATATAAGTTCTCACCAAGTTGAGTATCGAAGGTTAAAAGAAGACACAAGAGTACATCGAAGAGCTTTATTAAACATGAAAAACAAACTGTAAAAAGGGACTTACTGTTAGCTAGGAAATGTCAGTCCTCACTGCTGCACAGACGGGACCAAACTGGTGAGCAACTAAACAACTACGGTGGGTCTAAGGAGGCTCGTTAGTTCATACAAACTTACAAATCAGAAGGAAAAGCTCATTTACATGCACGGGACTTGCCGTGAATACACAAGTCTGTAAGGCCTAAAGTCATATCTACACAGAGAAACGAAGCTGAAGCTCATAGAAAATGTGTTAAACTATTGTTTTTGCTCAAGATACGTCAGGATAACAAACACAAAAATAAAGATATAGCTCAACACAAACAGGCTTACGTACAAGAATTAACGTCAGCACCTACCTTGGATACACCTAAAGGGAAAACCTGATACTCTAGAAATCCTCTGTAGCAGCTCACAGAGAGAGGCTCACAATACAAAGGCATGTCTGTACAAAAAAGGGTTTTTTTTTCTCCAAGACAAAATGACACAAGCGAGCTCCCGTGAAACTAAATAACTGCAGATTAACTTGACTTTAAAGACAGTCGAAAGCACAGAAGGTCGACTACTTCATCAACAAACTAAAGTGTTTTGGAGAAACGAAGCGCGCTGATGTGAGGCGACCCGAGCAAGTTAACAATTGGAATGTTGAAATCAGAAATAAGTTGCAGAACCAACGCGTCTCTGACCCGTTCTGTGAACTGTGTGTGTTGTGCTGTGAGACAGTGATGCACGGACCGATTCACTTCCTGCCTGATAGGGAAGGTGGTGGGGGAGCAGCGAACTGGAATGGCGAGTGCCCCATCAGGCCCATCATGGGCTGGGGAGGGCTGAACTGCTGGGCCATGAGAGGCTGGGGGCCGGATGACGGGGGCGGGGCTGGTCCCGCCCCGCTGCCCCCCGACCCGGAGCTGCCCCTGGAGGAGCTGTACTGGCTGCTGCTGCTGCTGCTGCTGCTGCTGTTGTTCTGATACTGGTCGTAGGAGTTGGAGCTGGAGCCGTAGCTGCGTCCTCCGTCCCGGCTGCTGCGATCTTTGTAAGAGGAGGAGGAGGACGAGGAGCGGTCGCCGTCCCGGCTGTTCCCTCCGCGGCCGTCTCGGCCGTAGTTGCTGCTGCCACGGCTGTCCTTGGAGCTGCCGCCCACAGAACGCATTCGCCTGTCGCACTCGTCCTGGTACATCAAGTTGGGATTATTGGAATTAGAGTTGCCACGGAAACGGGATCGGCCACCTGGAAATGAAAAGAGGGGACAGACGAACAAATGTCATCCAANGCTCTGACTGACTAGTTGGGAGTTCCAGATACTGATATCCTGAAGGAGCTGTTAACACCTGAGTTTCAGTTTTAATTGGAGGTTTGTTGCTCCTCCCCCTCGTTATGTGAGTCGTTAGTGCTCCCCCTGACACACTGGGGTTCCTTAAGGTCTTTTGAGGCTAGGTGTGGATGTGGGTTCATCTTGTAAACAGGTGAGAGGTGATGCCTCAGACCTCCACCTCTGTTGAGGCATGGTCTTTCCAGTTTGACACAGATGGCTTCTTTCATCCCTCAAACCGTTAAAAGTACTAACGACTCGCATAACGGGGGGAAGAGGCAATACACCCCCATCTGAAAACAAACTCAGGTGTTAACAGCTCCTTCAGGATATCAGTATCTGGAACTCCCAACTAGTCAGTCAGAGCTGATGAAGCCTCTTGGATGAGAGGTGGAACGTCCTCAAGGAACTCAAGCAAGTCCAGTTTAATCTACAAGAGTTGTGAAAAGCAATTTTTTTTTCGTTTCTTTAAACGATTGTGAGTGGTTGACATATATACCTGCTCAAAAATACAAGCTAACACGAGATCTTTTCAGTGTTGTTAACAGAGCATACATGAAATTCATCTTAAGTTTTTTCCATTTTTGGCTGTAAAGCAAAAAAAGAAAAAAAGAAAAACCAAGAACACAAAGTTTTTCTTCATTTTCCTGCTTTCAGGGACAAGCAGCAGTCTAAGCCGACTCTGAGAGATCTCCAGAGCAAGTCCGGAGCCAACATTACCCCAAACCCCATTCCAGCTTTCGCCCCTGAACATCCTGCAGCCGTCCCCAGCTCTCAGCCCGGCCCTGGAGCTACGCTGCTGGATATGCCTCCTGCTCGCCCGGAGACTCCTCCTGCAGAAGTGACCCTGACCGATGTTTTTGTACCGCTAGAATCCATTAAGCCCAGTAAGTAACGGGAGTCATGGTGTTTTACTTTTGCCCACCTGGAAGTGCAGGTTTATCAAAGAAAAAGCAGAAAGATGAGCATTTGTATTGATTAATCTGTGTATTATCTTCTTGATTAGTTGTTTGGTCTGTAAATATCGACCAGTGTTTCCCAAAATGTTTTATCCACAAACCAAATATGTTCCATTTACTGTCATAGAGGAGGAAAGAAACCAGAAAACATTCATATATACGAAACTGCAGTTGGAAAATTGGTGCTTTAAACTGATTGATTATCAAAATAGTTCTTGATTATTTTAAGTAGACAAAAAAAAAGGAGTAACTGTTGCAGCTCTAGTGTTATGAGTGTCTTCTGCTGCTTAAAGAATCAGGCAGATCATATGAAAAGCCTCCAGGTGTCCCAGATGCTACGTCTGATGTGATAGTTCTCTATTTTTTGTCTGTATTTGTTTCTGTGATATGTTGTGTTGGACTGGTGGCTACACAGTGGACAGACTTATCCAACGCTTCGTCCTTCCTTTCCCTCTCCAGGTAGTTTGTTGCCCGTGACTGTGTTCGACGGACACAGTCTGCGGGTTCTCTTCCACTTCGCCCGGGACTCGCCTCCGTGCCGGCCGGACGTGCTGGTGGTGATCATCTCCATGCTGTCCTCGGCCCCCATCCCCGTCACCAACATAAACTTCCAGACCACCGCTCCAAAGGTCGGCATCAGACAGAGCAAATGAGATCCGCCGCCGCCGATTTACCGTCTCGCTAAACAAAGGTTGTTGTTTTTGTTTATCAACTGCAGTCTATGGCGGTGAAGCTGCAGCCCCCATCGGGGACGGAGCTCCCAGCGTTCAACCCCATCCTCCCCCCTGCTGCTGTCACACAGATTCTGCTGCTCGCGAACCCAGACAAGGTAGGTCCAGATTTATTAGTGCCTGGACTGTAGACTGTGTATAATAGATGGATGTTGTGTTACCGGTGGTCGTTGTCATCCTGATCTTTTGTAATTGGACGTCATTGGCAAGTGGTGGATCTGACTGAAGAATCCAAAGATGTTGATGTCGTTGCCCTAAAACATACCTCGCTTTGTCTATTTTACTCTAAATGGGAGCATAATTTACAAAAAGTCTTGAAATTATAAAGTAAGACCATAAACTCATTTAGAAAATTATCAAGTTAGACGTGGGCTGCAAGGTGGCTCAGTGGTTAGCACCGTCACCTCGCAGCTAGAAGGTCGCCGGTTAGTGTCCCGATGAGAACACCCGGGATCTTTCTGCGTGGAGTCTCCATGTTCTCCCTGTGCAGCGTGGGTTCTCTCCGGGTTCTCCGGCTTCCTCCCACAGTCCACAAACATGCTGAGGTTAATTAGGGTCCGAGCACCCAAAAGGGTGCGAAGACCCTATTGGAACTGCTCGGATTATTATTATTATTCGTGCCAAAGACACGCGTTTTTGAGGCCCTAAACATACTCGAAAACTCACCAAAATTGCCATGCACATCAGACCCGCTGAAAAATTTTAGAATGTGGAAGAACAATACACACCTCAATAGAAAAATTGCTCCACAGCGCCACCTTCTAAATTGTCAAAAGCACATTTGGCCTAGAGCTACGCAATTTTGTAGACATATAGAGCAGGTCAGGATGAATAAAAAAGTCAGGCTGGGCCAAGTTGTAAAATGCAACAAAGCTCAACGGCGCCCCCTACAATATTTCCCATTGGGGCTATGGT